CCCCCCTCCCCTTCTCCCCTTCCTTGTCCTCCCACTCGTCCCCATCCTCCCCGTCCCCGCCGCCCCCTCTCCTTCCCTGTCCTCCTACCCGTCCTTGTCCTCCTCCCCGCCGCCCCCTCCCCGTCCCCACTGCCTCCCTCCCCTTCTCCCCTTCCTCGTCCTCCCACCCGTCCCCGTCCTCCTCCCCGCTTCCCTCTCGTCCTCCCTGGGCCCCCCGTGAGTTCCCCTCTTCGTCTTCCACACCTCCTCACCGCCTTCCCCCTCCTCCTCCTCCTCCCTGCCCCCCCCAGCCCTCACTGCCCTCCTTCCCACCATCCTCCTCACCGCCTTCCCTTTCCTCATTCTCCCTGCTCACCCCCATACACACACTAATTCCCCTTTGTCCTCACTCCTCCTTACAGTCCTTCATCCTCCTCCCTGCCCCCCATGAATTCCCCTCTGTCCTCACCCCTCCTCCCTCCGCTCCTCTCCTCTCAGGAATCCTCTCTTCATAGCTCCACCTCCTCTAGTCCTCCTACCCTGACACACACACACACACACACACACGACAAGGCCACGGGGATGTAGTCTTAGGCTCAGGATTGAGATGCGGTTTCCAGCACTGTGAAAACAGACAAGGATCCCCAGTGTCTTCCACTGCTTCTGAGTGTGACTAATTCTAGTGACCTATGGCCAGGGAGAGATTTAACTAGTTCAGGTATGAATTCATACAGGCCTGGGGTGGAGCCAAGCAAAGCTTGAGACAGTGACAAAGGGGATTTAGCCTCTTAGAGGCTAGAGGGTTCCCCTAAAGCTCAGGGCAAAAGGGGGCATGTGGCTTCGGTCACAGTGGCAGGTCTGCTGAACAACAGTCCAGGAATAGTGTCGGAATACATGTGAATGTATAGTGATGGAAGACATGTTCTGTTCTGTTTGCTTTGCTTTTCGTGCACTTTTTCTCACAGCTCCCCTGGCCTTGATTTTGTAGGGTTGATAAAGATAGGAGTGGGGTGATATCGGACAATGAGCTTCAGCAAGCGCTCTCCAATGGTGAGTTGAAACCTGATAAGTTACTAATAAGCCATTTCCTTTTGGAGTCTCCCAAGTACGGGTCACTGTTAAAACCAAGTTGCTGTGGAGGTCTTTCTGTTCCATGGGTTCCTGGTTGTATTCATGACTCCTACCTTACTGAGCGCCAACAACTGAGCTTGATGACCTTGGAAAGTACCACCTGAGAAGTGGGGCTGGGATGCAGGTCTTAGGAGAGAAACGAGGTCTTGAATGTGTGGGTGAGTTAGTCCCAGCGCATCTGGGGAGGACCATCCCAGACACAGAATGTTTGAGGGGTCCATGTGGCCACTTTTTTTTTCTTTTTTTTTTTAATTTTATTTGTGAACATACTGTACAGAGGAGTTACAATTACATGGACAGGATAATGCGTACATTTCTTACCAAGCATTGCCATGTGGCCACTTTTGTGATGGGAACTGCTGAAACGTTAGAGCCAGATTGGGAACTGGGGGCTGTTGCTTCGGGGTGATAGGGAGGCGTTCTTATCGGCTGGGGGAATAATAAGCATTCTGGTGGGCTGGGAGGGCCGCGGCCCTCCCGTGGAGTATAGTGGGGGCTTTCTATGGAGTCATTGTTAGAGACACTGTCCTTCAAGTGAGTTCCAATCCCTCTTCTGTCTTCTGGTTTTGTATTGGTAGCTTACTTTGGAGAAGTCACTTCTACAGTCTGCAAGTGTTGGAAGGCTGATGTATATAGTGGACACACTTTCATGTTGTAGTTGGTTGGACAAGAGATTGGGCCCTTTGGCTGCAGTGCCTCTAGTGTTAGGACCATGCTATTAGCACATGATAGACATTTTGTTCTTTCTGAGAATCTGTGTTAAGTGAGGGGTGGTGTTGGCTACAGGCTGGGAAGGTGGCTCAGTGGTAGAGCCCCTGCCTTGCATGCACGAGACCCTGGGTTCAATTCCTCAGCACCACATAAGCAGAAAAAAAAAAAGCCAGAAGTGGCGCTGTGGCTCAAGTGGTAGAGCGCTAGCCTTGAGCTGAAGAGCTGAGGGACAGTGCCCAGGCCCAGAGTTCAGGCCCCATGACTGGACCCCCCCCAAAAAAATGAAGGCTACCATAGCACCATTTCCCACTGTCTAACCTGTGTGAACAAAGAATCTGGGTGCTATTTCAAAGTTTTGTTATTAGACAATTAAGAGATTACATTGCCTCTACCTTGGTATTATGCTTTCTTGATTAGTCTCTTCTGTAATTTGCATCTCTGAGTGTACGTCCTTCTCAGGGGAAATATTAGGTCGGTTTATTAGAAAGTACCTTGTTTCCCAGCAGACTGATGAAGCAAATCCTGGCCTAAAACTTGACAACAGAACTCCAACATGGTAGAGGGCTCCAATGGGGACCCTGAGGGAGGCTGCCTGGGTTCAAATCTTGGGCAGGCACACAGTGTAGAGAGAGTTAATAAAGGAAACCTAGGCAAGATGCTCTCAGGATGTTGAAGGTTGTTAGTTGTAGATACTGGTGGAGGTAATGTTAGTGCTGCTGCTATTGGCTAGCTTGGTGGGAGATTCAGTAATGTCAGTGATCATGGGTTCTACTTATGAGTATCCTATGGACACAACATAGGGTGCTCAGCAGAGTGTCCCCTACCATGGGAAGGGGAGACCACCTCACCTGCTCTGAGCACCTGGCGCTGCTCTAGTCCTCAGCAAGTAGTGGTCAGGACACAGCCTTGGTCACAGCTGTCACTCAGCCTTTGTCAGGAGCCTGCTTGAGAGAGCAGCAGCTGCCTAAAGGGTATTGAGACTTACCTCCTCCCGTAGTTTCAAAGATTAGCTCCTTCTGGGCCCCAGCGAAGTAGGGAAACCCTCAGCTCCTGTTGGGGTCCCTTTAGCCTTGCAAGGCCTCAGTTTGCATCCCCAGAGGGGTGGCAACCTGAGAGGCTGAGGCCACTGTTTTCTTTTTGTATCTTACACGACAGCCTTTTTTTGGCTTGAGTCTTGACGGTTATGTTTTCATCTTCAAGGTAGCTGCTAAAAATTTGAAGATGCATTTGTGGCCTCCTGGTAATGAGAGTTTAGAATTAGGAGGTAAATTTTCAGACTCGTTTCTTTCCCTCTTAATCCTCCTATTTTATGGATTGGCCAACATAAGTGAATTTTATTTTACTTTGTGTGCAAGTTTCTTTCATTTCTCTCTGGGCACCATGATAACCGTTCAGCCCATGGAGCAGGTGAGGTTGACCCCACAGCTCTGCCTTGTCGTCTGTGGTGCTGTTGGAGCAGAGCCAGGATGTCGCTTCAGAGGGGTCTGTGGACGCATGCGGCTCCTGTGCTCTGCCATTCTTTTCCTTGCCCTGGAACATTCCTGTGAGGTCTTGGTGTTTCCCTGTCTCTCTGCTTGCTAGCATCCCCACATGCTCTGCTGAGCCAGCCCTCTGCTCTTCAAGGCACCTGTATTTCTCTGTCCCCCTGCCACGTAGAGCATGTGCTTTTCTTTCCTGCCATGGTGTGTGCTGCTCCTACCCAGGCTACTATTCTTCATTCTGATGGACCCTGTCTCTATTTTCTGATGCTATAGCACTACCGCAGACAACAGACAGAAACTCATTTTGCTCAGCCTTGGAGGTTGGGAGGTCAAGAGCGTGGTGAGCTCTGGTCAGGGCTTCCAGGCTGGTCATTGCTTGGTAGAAAGTGGAGTGGCAAGATGGAGGCAAGGCCCTCTGTGCCCACCTCACCTCTGACTGCTAACATACCAGTGCCAGGTTCTGGGGGGAGCGGCTTTAAACCTCAGCTCTTAGGGGCTGGGGAGGTGGCTCAGGGGTAGAGTGCTTGCCTTGCATGCATGAGGCCCTGGGTTCGATTCCTCAACACCACATAAGCAAAAATAAAAAAGCCAGAAGTGGTACTGTGGCTCATGTGGTAGAGTGTCAGCCTTGAGCAAAAGAAAGGATAATGCCTAGGCCCTGAGTTCAAACCCCTTGTTTGGGAAAAAAATAAAAAGAAACCCCAGCTCTTTCTGGTTACTTGATCACAAGTACCATGAAGTTCACCGCCTTCTTGTGTGCAGGATCAGCATATTTGTGACTTAATAGATGCAAATCAATTCTCTCCATCTCCTTCTGTGAACTACCACAATATGGTTGAAACTACTTTGATTTCTGGTTCTGGGTTAGTCTAGTGTTTTGGAATTGAAGTCAGATTAAACTTTCAGGCATTTATAGGAAGTTGTAAATTCAAAAATAAAATAGTTTCCCACTTTAGTCTGAGATTCTGAGCGTAAGCTACCTGTAGCAGTTCAATTGACACATGCTGAGTATGTCTGTAGGCCCTTACTTGGGTCTCTAGGAGACAAGGAGCTACTGAGCAAGTACCTTTTTTAAACTTTCACATCATACTGGTCACCAGTGGCTCACGCCTGTCTTCCTACCTATCCTAGGCTGAGTACCTGACAGCCCAGGAAGGAAAGTCAGTGAGACTCTCATCTCCAGTAAACCACTCAGAAAATCGAAAGTGGCTCAAGTGATAGAGCGCTTGTCTGGAGCTGAAGAGCTGAGGGACAGCGCCCAGGCCCAGGGTTTAAGCCCCATGACTGATTTTTTAAAAAAGGAGGGAAAAACTTTCACATCATTTCTTTGGCTTGTAAAAAAACTAATCTCAAGTCTTTTGTGCTTTGAATTGGGTTTTCTAACATAACATAGTTGTGATTTGAGGAAAATTTTAAGTTTTTTTTAATGTTTCAGTTTTTAAATTTAATATACAAAGAGGTTGCAGTTACATAAGTCAGGTAAAAAGTGTGTTTGTGTGTATTTTTTTTTCTGCCAGTCCAGTGACTTGAACTCTAGGCATGGGCTCTGTCTCTGAGCTTCTTTTGCTTAAGGCTAGCACTGTACCACTTGAGGCACTGAGCCACTTCTGGCTTTTTCTATGTACTGAGGAATCGAACCCAGGGCTTCATGCATACAAGGCAAGCACTCTACCACTAAGCCACATTCCCAGCCCAAAAGTACATCTCCTTTTGGACAATGTCATCCCTTCCTTCACTCAAATGTTACTTTATTTTAAAGGTAATTTTATCAGAGTTATAGTGTCTATTAAGAGACTGGAGAGAACCCAGACTAAGGCAAGATAAGTCCTTGCCTTAGACCAACCCAATTACAGAGTGTTACTTTGTGCTGGAGCACAGGAGGGGTGTGATCTCCCCATGCCTGGTTCCTGGAGAGGGTGGAGGGAAGTTGAACTCAGCAGGCTGGGCAGCTTAGTCCCTCACATGGCCAAAATGACCAACTTGTCTACTTTGTGGGAACTGAGCTCCTAGAAGGTTCTGATGGAAAATTATTTTCTCCCCAGCTGCCTTTTCTCCCCAGCCGCCTACCCCAAAGGTCTTGAGCTGAGCTGTGCCATTCTACCTAGTTAAACCAAAAATACGATTTGTGGCAAACCTGTTTTTGCTTAGTGATTGACTACAGAGAAACCCTGGACCTTATCCTACTTTGGCCTAGGCCTGTGCTGCTTGAGTGAGGTTTATCCCTCAGGCTCTGGGAGCTCCCCAACTGCTGTTACTCCGTGTCTCTTGTAAGAAACTATCGCCATGATACTTAGCCTAGAGAATTGTTGACCTGAGAAGTGTGTCCCCTCTCCTGAGACACTCACCACACCAAAGCTCCACAGAGAAACAGTTAATTCCTAGGTTCTAGTGATTATATGGATGTTTGGCAGGACACGGAGAGCAGTACACACTTGATGCAGAAGAGAGGTGCTTAGTTGGGGCTCTTGAGTGCTCTCAGAGTCCCTAGAGCCTGCTCTCTGCTGGGAACCTCTGGCTGCTGGCTCTCAGGGGCTCTTCCTGTAGGTGAGGCAGTCAGGTGTCGTGTCAGATGGCTTTATTTTGTCAGGTTGGTGATGTCTGTCATTTGTTTTCAGGTACATGGACCCCGTTTAATCCAGTGACCGTCAGGTCAATCATCTGTGAGTATCTGTACAGACAGGCCAAGTCCTGCTGCTGCCTGGACCAACTTGTGCTTCCTTTTCTCTG